AAAGTAAGATTTGAATTTGAGATGTGTCGATCGAAAGAATTTGCGAAGTGTTTTATCCTTCTATGAATGACTATCGATCACATCGATTAGATGTAAGAAAATAAATGAAGACAATTCAGTGTTTCAAATTGTTTTACAATCACGTATTTTGAGAGCCGGTTTAGTTCGCGCAGTCTCATTTGGTGTTAAACGTCAACGCATGCTAAAGTCGTGAAAAGTAAGATGTGTTTGCAATGAAGTGCATTCATTACGAATTAACGACTAGTACTACTTCCAGAAATAGACATTCAATCTACAATGATTGATAGTCAGATCCGCATTGCTCAATCGTATTAATATTCCCGACTTTCGTATGGTGTGAGCCAGCACGGTTCTGGTCTTGGATATGCACCCGGTGCACATTTGTCGAACTATAGAATCGCCTTGTTAAAGACTTTCTACGATCTGTTGAGATTAAAAGACAACAGTTGATGAGTATCAGATTGATGCTTAACCTGCTTCATATGTTTCTTTCCAGCACTCGTGATGTTAATTTATAACGAATATACAAACCACGGGACTTCTCATGCTTTCGGAAAGTATATTAAGTTTAGTTTATTGCGTTTTACAGAAGCACATTGGTTATAAGGCTTTCAAATATCAGATAAAGAAGGATCTAAGAATTGACAGGTAACACTAGGATCAGGTTTTATTGTATAACAAGATTTTGCGGCTGATTATTATGTCGTGTTGACATTTGACCAAATCAGATACCTACATTCTAGTCATTTGCCCACGAAGAGCACTCTAGGACTTTACTCGCTTCTATTTTAATGGTCTCAATCGGTTCTCGATCTCCGATTTATGGGCGTCATGGTATGGTATCGTGTTCACAGCCTTTAGCATCCGAAATCGGTCTTCGTATCTTAAAACAAGGTGGAAATGCTGTGGATGCTGCAATTGCTATTGCAGCGGCGCTCAGCGTTACAGAGCCATGTTCTACTGGCATTGGTGGTGATTGTTTTCTTCTCTTTTTTGACGCAAAGACAAATCAGGTTCGAGGGCTAAATGGAAGTGGTTGTAGTCCTGTCGCCCTTTCGATAAATCAAGTGATAAAAGATTTAGAAAAAGATGCGACAGCGATCCCAAGTGACCACGGCCACGCTGTGACAGTACCTGGGGCCGTTGCAGGTTGGGTGGATGCTGTAGAAGCATGGGGAACTTTAAGTATGATTGACATATTACGCCCAGCAATTGAATTAGCTCGTGAAGGGTTTCCTGTGAGTCCATTAACTGCAGTGAGCTGGGAGCATGGTAGAGATCAACTTCTTCGAAGTTCTAATGCAGCAGAGTTGTTAAATGATCGAAGTGAAGCACCAAAAGCTGGTGAAATTTTTAAAAACGAAAATCTAGCGAAGTGCTTAGAAGAAATTGGTCATGATGGGAAAAAGGCGTTTTACGAAGAGGGACGAATTGCTCAAGCTATCTTGAACGCTGTCAAGGAGAAGAAAGGATTGATGGCACTAGAAGATCTCGCCAGTCACAAGTCACTTATGGTCACGCCTATCAGCACGCTGTTTCATGGTGTCAATGTGTATGAAATTCCACCAAATGGACAAGGAATTACTGCATTATTAGCACTCAATATTTTAACAGAATTGATAAGACCTGAAACCTTACCAGCACAGAAATATGCTGCGTTTGTGCACTTGCAAATTGAAGCTCTTCGCCTTGCTTTTGCAGATGCTAAATGGTTTGTGAGTGATGCCGATCACAATACGTCACTACCTGTGAAAGAGTTGCTGAGTGAAAGATATGCTAAGGAGCGTGCGAAGTTAGTGAACCGGACGAAGGCAGCAATTGACACGAAAAATGGCAGTCCAGAATTGAGTTGTGATACCGTAAGTTTTCAGGTCATTGATGGTCAAGGCAACGCCGTGTCGATGGTTACCAGCAATTACGAAGGATTTGGTACCGGATTCATACCCAAAGGCTGTGGCTTCACACTGCAGAATCGTGCCTGCAACTTTGTACTGCATGGCCATAAAGTGGGTCATCCTAATGCACTGGGACCGAAGAAACGGCCATATCATACTATCATTCCTGGATTGTCAACATTTGCCGACTCGGGAGAGCTGCACTCTAGCTTTTCAGTCATGGGGGGATTTATGCAACCCCAGGGTCACGTTCAAGTACTTAGTAATATGTTATTGCATGGAATGAACCCACAAGAGGCACTTGATGCTCCACGATTTAATATTGATGTGAACCGCCCTTCAAAACATGGAGAAAAAGAGACTGGCAGCTTTGTCTTGGTCGAAACAGATCTAGGAGCCGACGTGATTGCAGCTCTTCATGATCAATTTGGCCATAACGTCAAAGAGGTGAAAGGATTGAAACGTTCAATTTTCGGTCGAGGTCAGATCATCGTACGTGATCCAAACACAGGAGTACTATGCGCAGGATCCGATGGACGGGCTGATGGCTGTGCCATGGGTTGGTAGAGACCCGATCGAAGAAATTGTTCTGTTAAATAGATTGAATTATTGACGCGACAAACAGGTTCCAACGGTAAACGATCCGTGTCTAAACATGGTGAAAGTGATTTATTTTATTCACAGATAATGATTTTGATACTGCAGGCGGTGACTTGTTTTTGTTTTGTTAGAATAACATAATAATAAGATTGCTGGCTTCTGTGAGCCCAACAACAAGACTCATGTCTCGGACATCATATTTTTGCGGCTACCGTTCAATTCAGAATTCGGTCCATACACCGAAATGCTGACAGTCACAAATAGACCGACACCATCCTAGAAGTTTGAGAATTCAGTGGCAAGATTTGTCAAACACGCGTGCAAGCTAAGTCTTTCAAAACGTTTTGCAGGGTGCTTGTGTCATACAAAAATACGCTTAGTTTTGGATGGTGCGCGCGACAATCGGCTACGTCTTTTACCACCTGGATTCAGAATGATGCTGGCCGTGGTATCCGTGATCCGCACTTTCAAAAGCAAATGCATCACTTCGTCTCTTGATAAGTACGTGACATGAGTTGTCGTTTGTTTTCTCAAGATAGCTACATGACTTTAAGCTTAAACAGTAATGATGCTAGCCACAGCTGTTGATGTGCGGACGTAGTAACTGCGATGTTTATCGCGCAAACATAAGAAAGAAGGAAAACGTGCACAACTTGTAATTTTTACATCATCATGGAACTTTTGTTATATTAGACGAGTTTATGGTTACAATGTCACCACCAACTTAATTTTGTCGAGCCTTGATATTCTTGCTCGCAGACAAGTGCAAGCGAACAGAGCAGTTTGATTTAAATATTTATGTAAGTAATTTTTGTTCCAGAAATATCAGACACGATCATCAGTATGGAGCAGAAGCTGGATTAAAGACTGATCCAGTGGAGATCAAAGATCGTCCGTGATGCCGACGAAAGTCTGCGAACGCTACAAGGACGATGAAGCGGCAGTCGTTACAAAGGACAGGAAAGAACTCAAAAACATGTAAAGGAAAAGAAGAAATGAAGACATGTGAAGAATAACAATCAGACGAATTCACCAGCAATCAGGACCATTGCACGAGATTTCTGACTCCATAAATATTTACATCGCAGAACTCACGAATACCTAAAGTGTGTCGCTGAGCAATTTCTGCTTCCAAGATGTCAAACGCACGAGATGAAGTAAATCGATAAGTATCACTTAATGCTCGTGGGTTGCAGGTACGAATCTCAACAATGTTTTTATTGGCGCCGATGGCAAACGATCATTGGACGGGACGCTTACAATGATTAATTTGCAGAAATACTACTGTACCACGTTGTCTTATATGAGGATAAATCTGAAGTAAAACGTTCTGATTCAGCCATTTTGAAATATTTCTTCTTTCGGAGGTTAAATCAAAACTGCCAGATTCTTCCCTGCAAGATTCTACACTTGTAGTCTCCCCTGAGACTCACCTGCGACGCCCAAAAATATATGCCCCATCCATTAAAACCGAAGAGCCAATTAGCCTTGGAAAGACAATAATTACTCTTGGAGTAAACGGATTGCGATCCGCTGACTAAAGAACAAAAGGTCGGTGACCTAAAGTACGCTTCCTCAAGCGCTAAGCTACGGCAGTCCCGCTGCACTTGGTAGCACTTGTAGTCAATCTACATCTGAGTCGTTTCGACTGATCCTCTGTGAGGGTGGAGGAATTTTCCTCTTTGCCCCAGGGCATGCAGGACGAGCATAACAAGCTGATGTCCTTGCTTGGCCCTGAGGGCGCGCAACACCTTGAAGCAAAAGGCCCCAAGGCAATCGGCGCGCGTCTAGAGGCGTTTTCGAGTTATTAAAACGCGCTGTTAGAGCGCCTGCAGCAGATGATGTCTGCATCTTTGCGTCTATGACGCCACCATCGGTGACGGAAGACTTCCCCCGACCTAAGCCGCTCATGGTGAGCGTTCAGGACTTTGAGGGGAAGGATGGAGAGAATCTCCTGCTCTGGGTTAGAGAGGTCGAGATGGCCATCGCATCCGCCATGCCCCAAACCGAGTAACAGCGCGTGGCGCTAGCCATCTCCAAGCTCGGTGGTCGAGCGCGAGAATGGGCACGGACGTCGGTCGGAGCTGCGTTGCCCTCTTGGGCGGAACTGAAATTGCAGCTCTCCCGAGTGTTCTCGCCACCTAATCAGGCGTATCGCGTGCGATCGCCTTTCCTTGCCGCCCGACAGGGCAGCAAGGAACTGGTGGACTTTGTTCAAGAGATGCGAACTCCCATTGCCGGGATGGTAGCAGATCCCCTCCCGGGGGCGGTCACAGTGATCGTCTTTATGGAAGGTCTCCACACTAGCGTCACCAGAAAAAAATGGAAGTCTTCCGCGTGCATCCGTCCTCATCTGAAGAGGCGGTGAATGCGGCATTGAACGCCGAATTCAATTTCAAGTCGGCACGACTTGGTTGGAATGCACACTCC